ACCTGAACCTATTCAGCCTCCACAAGAGAAGGCTGAGGGGGGACCTGGTGACCGTCTATAAACTCACTAGGGGGGACCAGAAGGGTTTGGGGGAGACGCTGTTTCCCCTAGCGCCCGCTGGCATAACAAGGAGTAATGGGCACAAGTTGATGGAGAGGAGGTATAGATTGGACATCTGCAAAAACTACTTCACAGTTAGGGCGGCTAGGAGCTGGAACCAACTTCCAAGGGAAGTGGTGCTGGCCCCTACCCTGGGGGTCTTTAAGAAGAGGCTGGATGCCTACCTGGCTGGACTCATTTGAGTCCCGTTTTTGTTTTGGGGTTTTTTGTTGTTCTCCCGCCCTGGCGGGGGGTCGGGCTAAAAGATCTACTAGGTCCCTTCTGACCCTAAAACTATGAAACTATGAAATTACACAGAATAAGTACCTTTTCAAATTACACCACTAATTTCATATTGGGATGCCCACAGTGGTGAAGTATATTCTGGCAAAAAGGATCTACTGCAATCCTATTAAGAAGACAAGAACAAATCCCTCCCTTTCCCCACCTGAAATGAAACAAACTAGTCTAGTCTACATTAATGGTTGGGCCATGACTAAAGAGTCTTGAGAGAACCTAATGAATTTTCAATCTTGAACATCCTGAGAGGTGACAGAGTCGGATACCAGGCCTCAGCTGATTTGGCTGTGGAACTGAGAACCATCTACACACCAATGTATCTTGGCAAATATGTTCATCCATCTTCTCTATACCACAAGCACAATAGTCAATACCAGAGCATACAGCATCTGTTTTCTGACTGCTGCTGTCAAATGCAAAACCATGCAGTAGTGCCGGAGAAAAGTTGCAACAAACTGGTATTGTGGTGCTTTACAACATAAAGCTCCCAATTTGACTTTAGGAGGAGATATACCCAAGCAAGGTTCTGCCACAGAGCTCTGAGCTGCCAAAGTCCTGAAGGAGACTAATTCTCCTTAACTGATGCAGAGTTCTGTGCCTCCTCCTGGGCCTTTCACATGACACTGAAGTAGTGGAGAAGCAGTTCTTCCATGCAGTGCATAAATTCAGGGTGGAACCACAATTCCTGGGAGCAGGAAGACTATGGCTGACCAGACCCTAGTTGCTTGTCAGGAGCTGATAACCACTGCATTGTATTTCTAAGAAATGCAGTTTCCCAATACAGGCAGTCGTCAACTTACAATGTTTCAAGTTACCTTTTGCACTTACAACACTTATAAATTGACACCCTGTTCCAACTTTATGGCATCAGTTTCGACTTTACAATGCTTGATCTGATGTGATGCCATATCAGCAAACAAGTTTGCTGCGTCACTCATCTCCCTGGAAATCACGTGTCCAAATTTCGTTGGACACTTTCTTTAAGAAAGCAAATAGGACTCCAGAAAAACCTGCAGCCAAGACTCCTGAGAAGACTCCAGCCTTCAACCAAGTCCAACCAAGAGCCAACCAGCCAAAAAGTCCAACCAAGAGCCTTTCAAGAAGTCCAGCAAATTCACCTCAAAGTCCTTCCAAATCAATACGATTGCTATTTACAATATAAATACACTAATGTAGCTATATTACTCATCTATAATTGATCGAGTACAAAATTCTGGGTTATGTCTGGTGAAAATCAGGTATCAGGCCTTGGTTCAGGAACAATCCCCCATTTATAACATTGTTTATTATGAGAAAATTGGTTCCGAGTTGCAACGTTTCGACTTAAAATGTGGTTTTCAAGAACCAAATGTGTCATAAGTTTGAGGACTGCCTCTACACTTCAAGAGAATCAAAAGGGACACCGAGGCAGCTATGGACTCTCTAAAAAGTTACCCATCCCAAACTGAACATATGTGGGTCAATGCAAGTCCATTCCCAGTTATAAATCTTCAATGCGCTACTATCAAGGCACCAGGAAATCATGAATTATATCGAGTCTCTTGGTCAGAGGGATTAGATTGCCTAAAACAACTCCCTGTAAGAACAAAGACAATTAGTGTATTTTTCAGAGAACCAGGTTGCAGGTCTCAAAACTCTCATTTTGTACCCCTGCATCAGTACAAAGGATCTATATGGCCACAGATAAAGGGCCTTCAGTTCCAATACAGAGGCCCAGTTAGATTGTGGGCAAATGGTAAAGTGATTAGGCAATCTTGAACCACATTTCAATAAGATGGCATCACATTTGAAAACTTATCAAGTCCCCCCACCAGTCTTCTTTTCTCCAGACTAAATGAGCCAAGTTCTTGCAGCCTTTCCTAAATTATGCCTCCCAGGCCTCTAATAATTTTTGTAACTCTCCAACAAACACTTTCCTGATCTTTCTTGAAATGTGGGGCCCACAACTGGACACAGTACTCCAGGCAAAGCCTCACCAGTGCTGAATAGTGTGTCAGAATCACTTCCCTTGATTTGCAAGAGAGACATTCCTGTTAAAAAGGCAACAGCATACTGGGCTGTATTTCAGCAACAAGTGCAAACAGCTAGCTCATATTCAGTTTATGGTCCACTGTAACACCCAGGTCCTTCTGTGCAGTACTGCAGCCTAGCTAGTCATTCCCCAGTCTGTATCTGTAAATGCAATTAATTCCATCCCAACTGCAAGACTATACTTGTCCTTGCTGAATTTCATCTGATTGATCATGGATCATTTTTCCAATCTATCCAGGTGATTTTAGTCCTAGCCCTATCCTCTAGAATGTCTGCAACTCCACCCAACTTAATGTCATCTGCAAGTTTACCAAGCATGCACTCAATCCCAGCATCCCATTAAATCATTAATATGTTAAAATATATATATTAGACCCAGAAGAGACCCACTGATACCTCCTCCCAACTAGACACTGAGCCACGACAGAACAAACTAAAGTATCTTCTATTAGCTAAGTTTAAATTCACTGAACAATGAAGGCAAACTTTTTAAGCAGCAACACAAAAGCTTGCCCCACACTCCAATTCCTTCCTTCCCAACTAGCTGCTCAGCTTTCTGCTTCCTTCCCCGTGCTCCCTTCCTGATCTCCGTTTCTGCTGCTGTGTTGCTGCCCGTCTTCTCCCCAGTCTCCTATGTGCCACAGAGGCTGCCCATGCTATTTCAGCCAGTTGGCCACCCCTACTCTAGAGGCAGAAACATGGAAATCACCAAAATGAAGCAGACTAGTAATGCACTGAATTCACTATCCTGTTTCTATTACTAGCAGGTATCACATGCTTCAGAGAGAGATGGCAGAAACAGTACACAACAGTTATAAAAGAACTTGTATTCCTAACTCTTATCAGCTTCTGTTTGGCTTGTGCCACAAACCATGTTTTATCCCTTCTACAAACACTTTTTTTTTTTTTAATCTCAATGTAACTGTGGAAGCATTTCTATTATGTATACAAAACATCTACTATAGTTTAAGCTCATGGTCTGCCCATAATGACATCAGCATGTAGGTTAGCCATTCGCTTTTATCAAGCAGTATTTCCTTTCATCACTTCTGTGCTTTGGTTTCAATTCCACAGACTATTCTCTTGCTCATGTCTTAAACAGGAAAAAATGTAATAAATAAAAATACTAAGTGACTCAAGGTTCTCTAGACAGGAATTCTTACATCTTGCAAAACCTGAAGCAAAAATAAGAATTGCTTTATTTTTTTTTAACAGAATGAAATTAAGTCTTACTGAACTCATTTATGCCAGCTGAAGAATGACTTCTCCAATAAGAATGGGGGGTGGGGGGAGTAATTACACACAGCTGTGTACAGAGGTTTAAATTTCTCTAACTGTAATTTTAAAGAATTCACCATCCCATGCAGACAAATTTTAAACCTCTCTTAAAATTTATCCCACAGAAGAATCTCCTCAGTGGCAGTGAATTTTAATCTTGGACAATCTGCCTGCTCTGTTGTGACTAAGGGCTGAGATGATGTTACATGGTATCTTCACACCCAGGCACTAGGCTCTGAGAATCTGCACCTAATTAGCCAAGAGGAAAAGCACCTCCTAGAACTGAGCCCCTACAAAAGACCCTGCTACTCTCCCCAAAGGGCACTGCCCTACATGGGAAGCAGCTCTGTTTCCTTAAACAAGTAATTTATCAGCCTTCACTTTCCTGACTGCAGGTTCCCAAATACACCTGCTGTTTCAATTATCATCCCCCAAACCCTGCAAAAGAGACGCTAGAATAGACTGTGTGTGAGCTTGCCAGAGGGGTCCTGTTAACAGCAAAACATAGTCACTGACAGGTGTTGGAGGAAAGTAAAGAATGGTGCTGTGCTCGCTGGAGGCAAGGGGTGAAGCAGTAATGAGCAAGGGGCGCACACAGATTAAACCTGCAGGAAAAGTGACTTTCAGGAGTGGATGAATTCACAGCAGTAGGGTGTAGACCGCCAGAGAGCACGGAGAACAGAGTCCCAGCGTGGGGGCCAGCACACGTGGGAGAAGGGCTAGGAAGAGGCAGGGTAGGGCAGCCCAGGAGAGGGGGGAGAGCCCGGCCACATGCGGGAACAGGGAAAAGACGAGCTGAAGATGCCCAAGGGCGTGAAGCCCGACGCGACAAGCAGGGCGTCAGTTTCCAAAGAAGGGGGCGGGGAGGCCGCAAGACCTCAGCAGACAGCCGGAACGAAGCAGCCACCAGGGCGGCGGGGGAGGAAGCGAGGTGACGGCTGGAGCGGCGACGGGTGCTGCGCGGGGTGTGGGGGAGGGACGCGGGCGAGGCCGGCGGAGGGG